GTGTATTGAATACTTTCTGTATACACTGTACAATACTTATGAACTGCTACATATGGAGGGTTTGATAGTATTTGAATTATTGTTAAGCAATTTATAATAGTATCTCTACCTCCAAATGTATTTTTGCACATTTCAAAATTATTCTCTAAACATTAGAAGAATAAATACAGCTACAGCAGCCTTCACGTTTATTTTGACCAGAGTTGTGTATTGATGTGGGAAGTGTCTTAGTGTTTCTCTCTTATGTTCATTACTTTGTGTCTGTTACTTTACCCCACACATACTGCAGTGCTAACTTAGTTCCTTCATCCTGTCTGCTCTTCATCTCCTCTAGTTTCTGCACCTTCGCTCTATCTCCTTTTTCTTCCAGCTTCTCAATCAGAAAGTCCAAGTACAAAAATGTAGAAACTGAATTAACCTTCAGGGCGATCTGCTCCAGTCTGACAACATGTTTGAAGGCTTCATCAACAAGTTGGGACTTCTCTGTTGAAAGGTCCTTCATGTCCTTTTCCAGGTGTTTTAAAAGGCTTAACTTCTTCTCACAATCTGTCTTGTTCTTCATATACTTCTCTTCCATAGCTTTCAGAGTCCACTGAACTCTTCTGGTCTTGTTGACATATCTCCAGGCCTCTCTTACATGAGCCGATGCAGGACACTTCCCAGTGCAGACAGTGCAGCATCCTTCTTGAATGACCTCGCAGTAGGATGGACTCAGAGCCAGAGTACATCCAGGATAGTGACAGTTTTCCTCACAGATTGTGCAGCACATAGCTTTTTCAAAAAAACTAAGCATAAATAGCTTTCTACTTTTAGTAGGTTCCTTCACCTTGTAGACTTCTGTAATCTCTACAGTGAAGTTTTCATTCCTCCTCATCTCCTCTGAATGTTTCTCTAGCGCCTCTTGGATTGCATTGATTTCCATCTGTTTCTGTTCAGTCAGCTGGATTCTGTCTTGAAGGTTTTGGAGAGAGGCTATCAGGCTGATGCGCTCATTCAAAACTTCAGCAGTGGTCATCAGTCTTTTAGGTCCAGTTTTTTCCAGGAATTCTGTGAGTGCTCTCATTCCTTTGTCTGAAATTTTGTCTGCCACTTGCAGGAATTCTGCATCTTCTGTTCGGTCTTCATTCTGACAGTTATCAAACAGAAAGTAAACAGGCTGGTTCTTTTCATTTTTGGCACATTTAATTTTTGTTTGTTCAAGGGCTTCAATGGCATTTCTGGGTCTCTGACCATCTGAGTGAGTGAGGAGAGCAACAATGTTGTCCTCTAGGTTTCTTCCAAAAAGAGACATCACTGAGTTCAGGACATATGATAGTCTGTCATTAACACGATTATCTGTAGCCTTCATCACCAAACCCACTGCGTGAATCTCATGAACTCCATCTTCTAATCGAAACAAGTCAAACAATCTGTGACTGACGATTGCATCCTTTTCAATCCCTCTGGTGTCTCCAAATCCAGGAGTATCGATGATGGTGAGGGAGAACGGCATAGTTTTACCTTCAAAACCAAAAATCTCGTACACGATCACATCTGATGTCTGACTGTCAGACTGACTCCTCCCGTCCTCCTCTACAATCTGAAACCAGATTTTATCCTCCCACTTAACTCCCATGGCGTAGTTCACCATAGTGTTGATCAGGGTTGATTTTCCAGCCCCTGTTTCTCCAACAAGCAAGATGGTTTTGTTTATCTTGCTGATGTTTTTTTTACCAAGAGTGATTCGTGTCAGGGGTCTGAGCTTTGTTTTTTCTAGGTTTAGCTGGTAGACAGCAGGAGATCCTGAATAGATCTGATGACTTTTAGAGATGATGTTCTTGTATTCGTGAGAGACATTCCTGCAGAAAAAATCCATAATTTACCCTTTAAAGATTTAAGATGTGTAGATATTGGGGGGTGTTTTCATGCAGAAATAATCTGGTAGGCCCAAAATTGTTCATACCCCTGGCAGATTTAGGTTTGAAGTAACCTTTTAATTTGACCAACAGGTTTCTTCTGATTAGAAGTCATAATAATCAGGAGTGGTCTAGTCATATTCCTAACCTGAATATAAACTGTCAGAATATTATAGAAAACATGCAGCAAATTGCTTCACTGTTAAAAGGGTTTGACTGCCATAATGCCAATAAGGATATTTCCATTTATTATTTAGAAGGGCATGGATAACTTGACGTGCATTTATTTTAATAAAACATGACTAAAACATGAGATATTTGTTGTATTCACAGACCCACGACATTTCCTCTCAGAAACAAACTTCTTGGTTGAATAAAAATAATTTAAAATCTAAATCTGCCAAGGCTGTGAATCATTTTTGGTTGAATTCAAATGACAGAAATATTTATTGTGGCCACAGATGTTTTTAAGAGACTAAATAAATTAGGTACCAAAAAGAAATTTGCATCTTTTTTGTTGATTAATTTTATTCAAATCTCCTATTTTATTAATTTCCTCATAACATTTTTTCTGCTTCATAAAAGGTTTTATAATTCTTGATTGCTTGAGGCAAAACACTCGGTAGCTGCATGGCACCTCAGGAGACATATTCTGTTCTGTATGGCCTAAATGCTTCAGTGGCTCTGAGCAAGATCTTCTGTTGGTTTCCTACTTATGTGCTAATTTATAAACTGTTATAAGCTGAAAAGTTCAATAAAGTAGGGCATTTTGGCATTCTTGTTGATACTGGAAGAAATGGCCTAAATGTAACCTTTAAGACTATTTTAAATGTGATTGTCCTCAAGGTATCTGCAGACCTACCCACTCCTACCTCAGTACTCTGGATCTTGTGCTGGCATATGGAACTGAATGTAACAGCATTTCCTTTACCGTCTCTTCATTTATTAATATTTGAGATTAATCTATGGTAGATCTTGATGATCGGTTCAATCATAAGACAATGCTGTTACAACAGTTGAAGAATGTGTTCCATTTTAAATTTCCTCAGTATCTCAGAACCACCAGCAGATGGCAGCAGTTTCATTTCTGCTGTTTCACAAGTTGATATTTTTGCTTACAGTTTTACACCCTGGTATGGCACTAAATCAAGAAACCCTTTTGACAAAGATAATTATCCAAAGGTGGATCCACCTAACGGTGACTGATAAAATAAGCCAACTGGTTGACAAGTATGAATGAGCATATAATTAATTTTGTTGCATCTTATACAGCAGCTCAGCTCACATTTATGTTGGCTTCATTATTTTTGTACATAATGAAGCACAAAGTTTTTTGTTCCATAAAAATCTCATCAGATTTGAGTACAAAAAAATCTATTTTTTGGTTCAATTTCTCTTTCAATAAAACACTTAAAATGTAAATATGTGGGTGCTGTGGTGGTGGAGGAGTGAAGCACAACATGGAGACCTTTACCGCATGTCTTCCCTCTCTGTCATTACCCACTTTCCTTTCAGAACTTTCAAATAAAGGCAACTAAAGCCAAAAAACCTTAAAAAATAGAAATATGTGTGGGCGCAGCAATGGCCCAGGGGTAAAGCATGAGACCCAAATACAGAGGCCGTGGTCCTCGCTGAGGCCATCACAGGTTCGAGTCTCAGCCTGTTGACCTTTGCTGCATGTTTCCCTTGCCCTCACAACTTGCATTCCTGTTTGACCACTCTCAAATGAAAGTCACCAAGCTAACTCATCAGAGAGAAAGGCAGGGGACAACCCTGAGCTGACCTGAAGGTAATGGTCTAAACAGTTTGTGTCCAGGATGTGTGGGGTCTGCAGAGATGCTAAATGCCCTTTTCCTGACGCTTGACTTGTCCTAGATGGAGGGAAGGTCAGCCCTGATTAGCGTCTCTGCAGACCTTATTGTTTGTTGCAGTCTGGACATGTCTGGTTTTGTGGATGAGCCTAAACCACACAATGTCTTCTGTGCTAATTCAATTACGCTTTAAAATAAAAAACCAAGGAGCTTTACACTGATTTTCTCCTCAAAGTGAAAAACTGATGAAACTCTAATGCCTGAAGTAGCTAAAGTGTATTCTGAACTGAACAGCACATCCCAAATATGACATTATTTATGTTGATTCAATTATGTTGGATGAACAGCTGTTAGCGGTCTGCTTTGTTAAGCTACAAAATTAGTAGTTGGGCTTAATACGACTCAAAATCACAATTTTGGGAACACACTGGCAGACAACATTATCAGCCACATCCAGTGAAATGAGCAAAAAACATTTGCTATACTATGTTGAAATGAAATAATTTTCAAATTAATGTGGTTTGAGTTTTTTTCACTCATAGTTTCAGTCAATGCATTTATTTGTTTCATGGTGAAACAGCAAACTCAATTAGGTGAGAGGCCATTAGACTATTATTTAAGATATAGGAAAGTCAACCGAGAATTTGCTTTACCCATTTTTGATCATAAAAACAGTTTGCTTAATTTGCAGAATTCCTAAATTAGTTGACCTTACTTTGAGTGTGTTTGCCTTATAGATAAAGAGAATATGCAAAGAACATAATAAAAAGTTACTGAATAAGTTGATCTGTGAAGTTGGCACAAAGGTGGTCAGAAACTAGAAGAATCTGGCTATCTTTATTGCATCAAGATAAGTATTCTGCAGATATTTACATCATCTGACTCCTACTAACACCTGCTATGGTACTGTCTGAGACTAATGTTGCAAAGTCCAAAATCTAGATCTCATCTGAGACTTTAAAGTTTTACTTATCTGTCTGTTTTAAATTAAAGAGCTTTTCTTTGTTAAGCAGGCTGTGCACATGGTTGGCAAAGCTAGAATTAATTCCCCTTTTGACTAATGGATAAGGTTGTGCACAAAAAGCTACAGGATGAATGTTTTGACCAACATTTTTCTAAATTTACAGAAGTTGAATTTTTCTCTTATTTTTCATATATTTTTATTTTCCTTTTAATACATATAAACAATAAGTTAACATTTGAAATATGCTACAAATTTTAAAACTTTTCCATGATTTGATCAGTTCAAATTTAAACTATTTGTAAAACAATAATAATAAATGTTCCTACTTACATTCTTTGCATGATGATGAAGTTGTGATGTTAACTCCAGTGAGGTTGAAACAGGTTTTGTGACTAACAAAAGACAAATAGCAAAGTTATCATTATTGCTGTTATTGCTCAAATTTTATTTTTATGCTTGAATGTAGTTAATGTCATGTGTTAGGCACATTGTATATAACTTACCAGAACTAATCTCTTAAAAAGTAATTATTGTGCAATATTTAGGAAATAATTATAATTGCGAAGTACAACTGCCATAAGGGGACATCTTTGTTGTATTTTCAACTCATGTAACCCCCTAAATTCATGTTCTACTAATTGTTAAACAGTTGTTTAATTTAAGTAATTATTTAAAAATGTGAACATAAAAAGTAAATGTCTCAGTTTATAATCTAACCTTCAAAATTCAGGTTCTAACATTAGGAGGTTTTCCTACCTGTGTAGTCAGTTACACAGCTACTCTTCACAATACTCAATGAGGCTGTCAGGCAGGAAGAGTAAAGAGAAATCAGCATCCAGAGTTTTATACTCTGTAAGAGGGGGAGGAAACTCCAGTCACATGATTTCACTGGATCTTTACTTGTTCAACAATTGCCTCTGAACTAAGCTCTTTTGTTACATTGTCTAACTGATGAAGTCTCTGCTAAACTAAGTCCAGTGTCTCATTCTTCATAATTTGGTTTTATTTCCAATATTTAATGCCATCAATAAGTGAAATAAACATTGAAATTTCAATTTATTTCAAGTTTCTGGTTTTACGTTTAAGTGCCTTTGATTTTAATATAAAACATAACATTTGATTTATTTTTTTATGACAGCTTTCATAGACTTCTCAAGACAAACACCTAAATATTAAAGAATCAAACACTGGGAGCCTCATTTCCACCTTCTCTATCTCAATTTAAGAGTATCATACATTTAGTGTGTACTGTCCCTGTTATACTAACAAGTATTTTAAACTTTTAGAACAATCGACTGTCTCCTGTCAGTTGAGGATGGTGCTGCAAGTCTGGGAAACTGAGTTAAAGTTTAGATTTATTTTCCATAGCAATTTGTTTTATTTCATAATAAATGCTAAATGACAACAAATATGTGGCTCAGCAGGAGTTTTTTTCTTACACTGGAACAAAATGTTATCACTTCAGGAAACTGACATGTTTTCATAGCAGCTTTATAGATTTTACCCTCATTGCTTTGGTTTGGTTTCATTCACAGCCACTGATGTGAATCAGCTGTTATGGTTGGTGTAGGTTGTGATAAGATAAAGCATTTTAAAATGCACAGCATGCATGGTATCCAGTTTATCTTTTGGACATTCAACCTTTTGTTATGTATTGACCAACTGTTATCTGAATAAAGATCTTGAAGCCTGGGACTACAGTTCATGATTGATTGTGATATATTTTATTTGTTGTTAATATTTGTTAGAAGTCCAGTTTGCTTTATTGCAACAAATATTGGAAAAATATTTATTGAAGTTACAAGGATGTGTAAAGACACCTTACAATAAAATATGTTTTATGTCCTGTGATTTCAGCATATACCTAGGTGTTCAGAACATCTTTAGGTTTTGTACTCTGCGATACACATATTTCAAAAACTGTTTATGGTGAATGAGAAGACAAGCCAACATGCTGACAAGTTCAAGAGTATTTGGAAGGTGAGGTTTCATTACATTAGGATGCTTCATAAAAGCAATGCTTGTGTATTTTTTCCAGTGAAAGTAGGAGTTCACAACATGTTAAGTCTCATCAACTTTGGTAACTGCAAAAACTATGTTTTATTAATCCGCATATATTTCATGTCCTCTCATCGCATATCTGCCATATGGAGAAGCTGGTTGCCTACATGCTTTAAGGCAGCTTTGCTCTACAGAAAGGATACCTGAAGATGTTTTCATGACTGCTTGTTTGGCTTTGCTACATCAGGGCTCCGTTGCTAAATCTTTGCAAATTATATTTTGTCTGCTTTTAATTCAGAGCTTTACATTTTTTTATTTTCATGAAGAGAAACTAAAAGTATTTTTAAGCTACCCTCATAGCTTTAACATGATTACATTATTTTCTTTGTTTGCAAAATCAGACAACAGTTGTTTCATTCAGAACCACTGTACTGAAACCTCTAGTTCTGGTTGGTCTCAGCTTTTTTCAGATAAGACCTTTTACAATGCACAGTATGTCACACAACACATACCACTTCTCCAACTGTCTTAAGCTGATTTATTTATGAAAATATCATAGTGTAATACTTAATGTCCCATTCAGAGTTGCTCATTGCATAGTGCTTGATACCAGTTTTGGGTCAGAGCCACCAAAACTACTGCTAGTGAAGTGTCAGGATGCTCAGTAGTGCTGCTGATCCAAACGGATCAGTTATCAGGACTACGTGTTCAGTCTGTTTGGAGGCGAATGATGAGTTTTGTTTTTGATAAGTAGCTGAAAGGAATCTTCCTGCAGATATCAGTTATGAGGAAAAGGGCATCTTTGACAGCAACACAATGTTATCCCTTTAACAGGATCAATACTATCTTTACATTCATCTCACACAAACCTCGATATGATTGGTGTCAGGTGTATTTAGGTGAGTGATTCCATAGCGTGGCATGGTGCAACATGTTATTTCTCCAACAGTTGAAGCATTAATTATGTATGATTAAATATATTAGGAAATTGATTTATTGCATGTATTTTTAATCTAAAGATGGCAATAGCTAACCTCAGCTTTAATTTCTTTTTGTCCTCCTAAAAGAACTTCAGTCACGGGTGTCCACAGTGCAATAACCCTTTTATTTTACACACAATCCATGGTTTTTCTCTTTTTATTAACTTTCATGTTAGTTTGTCTTGAATTGGAAAATTAAACACTTCAGCACAAACTATGTGGCTCTACTTTGAGTCTTTGTAGTAGTTTAGACTGTGGGAGGAATGGTTACTTCGACATCCCCAGTTAACACTCAGGTTAGAGAACTTAACAACGCAGCAACTGACCTGAGAATCATCAATCATGGCCCAAATAAACACCAGGCAACCCCGACGCTGAGTGAAGTACTGATTGAAGATCCACCAGGATCTACAGCACTGACATTGGGATGTCATTCGGACTAGAGAAGTGTGGTCAGATGGTTACAAAGAGAGGGAAGGTCGTCCACACAGAAGGGGTCTCACTCCCAGAGGGAACAATAGCAGACAATAATCAGCTGGTCAATGGATGACTAGCTAATGAGTAATTAAGACCACGGATGTTAAGACACGAATATAGGTACCATTATG